CCTATAACGTAATTATGTCCCGCCTAGATGCGTAATTAATGCAAATTTTCTTCATTCTACAAATCAGCGTGTTGAGAAGTTCAAACTCGGTCGTTTGTCAGAGCTCCACATTATTATTTCCACTGAGATTCTGAAACCAGCTAAACACAGTGAAGTCTAGCCCTTTCGTTTGGAACATGGCGATTACTGCAAGTTTTTTGTTTTGTTTCGTTTCTTTTGTTGTCTTAACGGACGAACGAGGAAGAGAATCTGGTGAGTAACCCTGGAGACGATAATGCCTCAGTACTCTCAGTACTAAATCTCGGTTGCCGTTTTTACACCTAACAACACAATGTAAACTTCTAAGTGTTTTCTTGGTAATGATTTTTGATGGAAAATTTTCAAAACGCTTGCTTTTTAAGCCGCCATACGATAAAAATTCCGTTTCTATCTTAATACCGCCATAAACAAAACCCTTCTATTTTATTACCTCAAGCAAGTGTCATAAAATTGTGCCATAAATTTTCAAATATTTCCTGTTATGATTGGCCCTTTCATCCATTTTTAAATTGGTACGTGCAAAACATGCTAAAAGATGTGAAAATACATCTTGACCAGTCCAATCAAATGTAAATACGTCTCTGGAGAGAAAACATTTCCCAGGAACGCAATACCGTGAATAATACTCCACATGTAAATGACATACTATATAAGATTCTTTGTGCGCTCTATTCACTGTTGAGTTTCTGCTGCTTGTCAGTATTCTTAGATCAAAGAGAAGCGTTTGGGATGTCCGAGGAAAGTGAAGTTGTCAGTTCTGCTAAGCCGCGCTCAGCCCATTCTAAAATGGCAAAGCCAAAGAACCCAAAGTACACTGAAATGGTGGAAGACGCTATTAAATTTTACAACGAAAAAGGCGGCTCATCTCGACAGGCCATATTGAAATACATCACTAGCAACTACCTCGTGGGTGAAAACGCGAAGAATCAAGTCAAGCTGGCGCTGGTTAAAAGTGTTGGCAAAGGAAGGCTTGTACAAACCAAGGGAGTGGGCGCTTC